TCCCTCCCTCCCTCCCTCCCTCCCTCCCTTCCTTCCTTCCTTTCTTTCTTCCTTTTTTTTTTGTTTTTGGTCTTTTTTGAGATAGGGTGTTCCTGTAGCCCTAGCTGGCCTGAAACTCGCTATGTAGACCAGGCTGGCCCCAATCTCAAAGAGCTCTACCTGCCTTTGCCTCCCAAGTGCTAGTGTTGGGATTAAAGGCATGCACCACCATACCCAGCAGTTTTGGACTTTATGTTGTTGTTTTTAATCACTAGATTGAGACATATTCACACTGCATTGGGAAAAATTATTTAATGTATTCACTTCTGTCATAATTAAGTATTCATTTCTATTTCCTTATTCTTTCATTTGCCTAAAATTGTTTTGGAGATATTTTTTGTAAGAGTTCAACTTTTCAACTTAGATATTCTCTAAAAAGTTTAAGGCTATTGGCCATAATCCTCTTATGATGAATTATTTTTGACTTAACAGTAAAGTTTAATACAATATATTTAAGGCTGAGAGGCTTGAGAGGAATGGGTGTTTACTTGTACTCTGTGGCTAGGCAGGGAATTTTTATTCCACTAAGTGTACTTCCCTTCTTATTAAGAATCTAATCAAAACATAAGGAAGGGATGAATGGTAGTGGTGATAAATAGGGTGATAACTAGTTGAAAGATCTGATAGATACAAGCTAACTGCTTCATAAGAAACTAGATCCTGCTATATTTAATGAGTGTGTCTTCCATGGAACCAACCATGGAAAGTTAACTTACTTTAAACTGAAATGCAGATCTTTATGTTTCCTATGAGAAGGGACTAATGCTGGACGAGCAGAGGTTTCTATGTAGTCTTGGACACAGTTACATTCCAGTTTTGTTGACTGAGCCCATGGCTTCTTAACCATAATTTAATATCTTTAGCATGTGTAGTTACTTTTTCGAGTATTATGAAACCTAAAAAAAAAATTAAAGGAAAGTTAAGTTGAATTCTCCTAAATTTTTCATGGTTCAAAAATTTCAAAGAGATTTGAAAATGTGTTAAAAGAAGTCTAATCATGGAAGAATGATCTAATAAGATCAGAAATAATTAGCGCTATAGAAATTAGGCTGTGTTGACATTTGGCATTTCTTCTATTAATTATGTTAATGAATATCATAATGCTCTATTTAATGAGAAACATTGCCCAAAGAAGCCACCCTTTTCTAGTTATGTCTTGAAGAACAGACTTCTTAATAAAATATTTGGTATCCATTTTGTGTGAAGTAACATCTTACAGAAACCTTTTTTTTTTTCAGTTTTGCAAGAGACTTGTGTGCTTGTGACTTTTCAGTGGAAAGAACTTAGGATGATAAACATGCAAAAAAAAAGTCCTGTCAGTCAGGAAGTAGTATGGATAAAATATAATTTTTTAACAAACTGAGAAGGATTTAAAAATAGTATTTACCAGCTTTTTGAGGTGAGAGAACTATAATTGATATAAAATGCAATTATGTTTTACTATGTATGAAACAGATGAAAAACTTTTTAACAATTACACACTGGAATGTTCTTCCAATTTGTACTGTTTAAAGTTATTGAATCCATAGGTTACAAAAACATCATTTGAGCATGAGCTGATTAAAAGCCTGATTTGGTATCTTGTTCATTTTGTAAAAAAAATTGTTATTGGAATTCATAATCTAATGCAATTTGAAAGGAATCTGAAAATTGAGTTCATTTTTATTTTCTCCAAAAGTGTATAGATGGAGTTAGTATGTGAATCTTTAAAGGTATATTCTTTGCTAATGTCTGATGTAACAGGAGATTCTAGATCTTTTGATTCCTATCATGTTTCTCATCATGTTAAATTAATCCTGCCTGTTACCAACATATGCTACAAAATTTCTGGGATTTAGTAACAGTTTGAATGATTAGTAGCTAATACATTTATTTGGTTATAAATAAATTTGGATTTTTATGTGTTAGGCATTGTGAAAGGAGCTTTGCTTGCTGTAATTTAATCTGAATAATCTAGGGTGCAAGTTTTGTAAGTTATTCTCTTGTCTAGTTGATAAATGCAGTATTACTATTAAAGCAGTCTTGTCTTTCTGATCTTTTTGGTCTTATTAAAATTAAAATATCTGTTATATTGGACATGAAAATCAGTTTCTAAAATTCAATTCTTTTGCAGACATACTCAAAAACATGTTTAGCAAGACATAATTACATTTTTGTTTGTAGAATTCAGATCATTCAGAATCAACAACTCCATCACCCAGTCAAGAGACTTTGTCATTGGTTTCTGGCTCTTCCTCGGAAGGACTGAGGCAGCGCATTCTTCCACAAGCACAAACTGACCCAGCCCAGAGTCATCCATTTCCATATGTGATCCAAGGGTAAGTGAAATGATGGGTCATATTTGGGGTCCTCTAAAAGTCACTAAAAAACATTTAGTTTGATTTTTACTTCTTCATTTATTAAACTACATTTGAAACTTATTTGTAAAAATATTTTTACAGGCTTTAGTAACAAACACAAGGATTAGAAATAAAACCAGCCAGTTACAGAACTTGAAGCTAAAAAACAATGTAGCAATGAAAAAGTGGTAAAAAATATATGAAATGCTAACTAAATGGATTATATAATAGCAGTATCCAGTAGACTGGCTAAATGAATAGAACATTTTTTTTTTTTTGGTTTTTTTTTGAGATAGGGTCTCCCTGTAGCCCCAGCTGTCCTGGAACTCACTATGTAGACCAGGCTGGCATTGAACTCACAGAGATTTGCCTGCCTCTGCCTCCTGAGTGCTGGGATTAAAGATGTGTGCCACCACGCCCAGCTGAATAGAACATTTTAAAAAATAAATTTCTCTTTATTTTTCAAATTTCATATGCACATATGATGAAATATATCTACCCTCCATTCCTTGACTCCAACTCTCCCTATAATTCCCTTTGATCTCCCTTGCCATGGGATTTGACCAGAGTTAGAGCACCAGGCATGAAATTCCCTTCTCTGGATCAGCTTTAAATCCAATTAGAAGGCAATTAGTTACATACAGGTTGGTAGGTTATTGTGTAGCACACACGGTCTAGTGCTGGATAAGACCATTGATTTCTCCCCTAACAGCCTGCTTAGTAGCTTACTGTACTATGAAAGTTAGCTATCAGGAAGGAAGTTTCTCAGTCAGTTTGAGATTGACTTCTCTATTTCTTGCTGTCAAAATTTTTAATAATACAGTCTTACCATGTAGTTTTGTTGGGTAACCAGCCAAAGTATGTAGTGTATTTAGTGATAAGGTCTTACTATATAGTTTTGGTGTATAACTAAGGACAATAGCAATAGCCTGTGCTGTTTTGTAGACCTCTGGGGACTCCCTGACCACTAACTTGTGGGGAAGCACCCCCTCTTGAACTGTGATTTTCATTTACTAATCCATGTTTTTTGGGAGTGACATTGTCCACCCATGTAGCTCCCCTTCAAATTCCATTTTAGTTTTTATTTTTATTTTTTAGTTGTATTTGAAATTGGCTTATTAACTTGCAGGTTTCCATAAGGCTTCTTCATACGTCCTTAGTTTTGGAAAATTCATTCACTATTCCCTCCTAAGTGCCTACTAAGAAGCTTGATTTCTCCATATTCTATGACTCAAGTATGTGGTGTCTTCAGCAGTAGGGCCTGTGTAGACCTCTTGAATTAGGCAGTTCCATAGGAAATGTAGCCAACAGCTACAGATACAATATATCTTTTAGATAGCTCAAAGAACAGGATCCTGGAAAACATTGTTTTACCTGGCTTGTATTTGAAACCAGAATATCTTACTGTGGCAGCGGGGCAGGCACTTTAATTTTTTTGTTTGTTTTAAAATTAGTGATAATGGTTCTGCATTGTACATCAAACCATGGGCCTGTAGTGATGATAAAGCTAGAAATGAGGAAATGAGTAAAGTCCTAAGATGGTAATGGAGGTGCTAGAACCAAAGAGAAGCCCTTGACTGCTTTGATGAACAGGACAGCAGAGACAGTCGTATCATTTTCACTTAAAACTTTCATTGTAATTCATTTCTTAATGTAGACAAGCAAAGGTGAATAGATAGCAAAATATATAGCAAGCCCTATTTGTCTCATATTTCTTAAATATGAAGCCTCTCTTTCAAAAGTGTTTAGATGAGGCTGGTTATAGACTTTTATACAGCACCTATGAAATTTTTTGTCTTAACGTTATTACTGAGGTTGGAGAGATGGCTTTGTGGTTAAGAGCACTTGCTGCTCTTCTACAAGATCCAAATTCATTTTCCAGCACTTACATTGAAGGTTTCACAGCTGCCTATAACTCCAGCTCCAGGAATTCCAACATCCTCTTTAGGCCTCTGTGGGCATCTGCATATATATATGGCACACACACACAATCTTGAAAAAGAAAATGATTACTGTAAACCAGAACTTAGTTATTTGTAAAAAACAATGTTCTCGGAGTTTACATAATGAAAGGGTAGCTTACAGTGCTTTCAGCCTTAAGGCAGTGATTCATTTCCTTTCTCTTTTGAATTGTAAGTCAGTTAATTTCATCTTAGCATATACTGAGTGATTTTACTTATTTCATTTGGTAGTAGTGAGTGGGAGTGTTATAAATAAACCTACAAGGATACATAATGACATATTAACAGTGGCTACCTTTGAAGACTAACTTTTCTTGTATGCAGTGAATATATTTTAATAAAACAAGGTTTATGAGCCAAGGGTGGTGACACATACTTATAACCCAGTACTTGGGAGGCGGAGACAGAAAAATTGCAAGCTCAAGGTCAGACTGAGCTATATAGTGAGACCTGTGGTATCTTCAAAAACTAGCGAACCAACCAACCATCCAGACAAACAAGTAAACAAACAAAATGTTGAAATATTATAGATTTTCATAATAGGACTATGCATATCTTGGTAAAAAATTAGTAATTTTTGTTTTTTTTAAATTTGTATTTATTTATTTTTTATTTTATGTATACGCGTGTATTGCTTGCATGTAGGTAAGTGCACCCGTGTTGTGCCGTGCCCGTGGAGGTCAGAGGAGGCTGTTGGATCCCCTGGGACTGGAGTTACAGACAGTTGTTAGCTGCTATGTGGGTGCTGGGATTCGAACCCAGGTCTTCTGCAAGAATAACTAGTGTTCTTAACCACTGAGCCATCTCTCCAGTCCCCCAAATTAGTAATTTTTCTAAAGTAGGTTGTTAAAGAAATCAGTAAGCTTGGGAGAAAAGACAATCAGCTCAGTATAGTGAATGAATTAGGAAAATCTGAAATGTGTGTATTTTGCCAAAAGGGTCTGTTAATTAGTAAACAACAAAATTGTTACACATTTGAGATTCACTTAGGGAATCTATTGCTAGGTGTATCATATTTAATTTTTACCTCTGTATTGAGCTTTTGTATATTTCATACAACAATTCTTAATCAAATCTATCATATTTAATTTTTAGTCAGAGGGCAGTGTAGTTTAGTGACCACACAGGTTCTGGAGCTGGACCGCCTAAATCCTGGCTCTTGCTTAGGCAGGTCTTTTTCCTGCTATGCTTTAGTTCACGCCTCACCTGGGGGTAAGTAGTATTTATCTTGAAGGATTTCTATGCGGATTTAAAAAATTAATGTATGTAATGTGGTTGAAGTAATAGCAGGCACATAATGTTCATGTTAACAGTTTCAAATTCATTCATTCTTAGAAGTGAAGGTTGTATATTCAGCAAATGGTTGATAGGCCCCTGTGTGCATGGTACCCTAAAACATTCAAATGAATAAATACCAGTGCTTAAAGATACGACTTTGTATTTGGAGAGAGTACTTTATGATTTACAAAGCAGCTGATGAAAAAGTTCAATAAATAGGTTATTCAGTTCAGCAGTGAACTTTTGTGGGGTATGTATGCTAAACCCAGGGCCTGAAGCATGCTGTGCCAGTACTTATCCCTAGCCACATTGCAGCTCTTGAATACACTGTCAGTTTTAACTAATGAAGACTCCATATCTTTTGGTCTTAAATGTGCAAGAGCAGTAATGTAGTGACTAAAAAGTTCACCACCAAAATGAAAGCTCTGCTCTCCTTTCTCAAACTTCAGTACAGCAGTATTTAACTACTCTGCATGTGTTTTCCATCACATAGGCTAGTATTCTCTGTCTCTAGTGTGCTTGCTATAATTGTTGATTCCTGTTTTTTACTTCTTGAGGCTCTGAGTCACCAGTTTGGGGTGGTTCTCAGTAATCTGCCAACCTATCTGTACACTGTGAAGTTCACTTGAAGAAACCCTAAGACTGGTGGTTAGTGCTCCCTTTGCTCTGGAGGAAACACAAGGATATAGAAGAAAATGCATGCATCATAGTGGTTCACAAAGTCATGCTTCTAAGAAGTTCCAGACAGTCTGTTTTTAGACTCATCCTGTTGTGCTGTTGCATTTATTTATTTTAACTCCAAAAATTGCTGACTGGTTTATAGTGCACCCAGTTTTATAAATTCAGTTTTTCTCTCTGAATTAGTAGCAGCTTCGTTTTGTATTCAAACTGAAAAACCTATGCTTTGTACCCTTCTTTGTTGATGTTTGAAAGTAAAAATTTCTTTGGCTCACCTCAGAAAGAACCATTACTAAAACTTTTGTGATTCTCCTTCCATACCTTTCTGTGCATGCATTTAAAAATGGAAATAGCATAATTTTGATTCTATCTTATAAACCCTAGGCCCTGGTTCAATCCCCAGCATGGGGAAAAAAAGAGAGAAAAAGGCTGTCCTTGCGGATCTCTAATAGACTAAAGGCAACGCTTGCCTTCCCAGTAACTGAAGCATTACTTGAAATAGCAAAGGCTGGGAAGACTAAACGGCTATCAATAAAAGACAAATATCAAGGATGATTCATCTACAGAATGGAATACTATGGAGTTGTTAAAAAGAATGAGGAGGTTCCTAATCTACTGACAAAGTATGCTCTCCAAAATATGAGCTTCAGGTGGCACATGCCTTTTAGTCCCAGCACTTGGGAGGCAGAGGCACGTAGATCTCTGTGGCATCGAGGCCAGCCTGGTCTATCATAGTAAGTTCCAGGACAGCTGGGGCTACATGGAGACCCTGTCTCAAAAAAAAAAAGACAAAAAAATAGGTTGGATATATTTTCGGATCAACCATAAATATACAACATTTAAAGTCTCTCCAGTTTTTCACTATTTGGTTATACCAATTTGTCCACTCTTCTATGAAGGAAAAGTATATTATTTAGTTTTGCTGCATATTCAGAATCTCAGTGGTGTTCAACGAGACAATTGTTTTTCTTGCTCACAGGTCTGTTCGTCACCTAGTACAGCTCTGCTTCAGGCTATAAACTGAGTTTACGTGTTCATCATGTTTCATGTCTGTGAATCAGC